TGCCGGCGAAACGTCTGGGAATGTACCACGTCCACGGTCCAACTTTGGAAATGATGATGCATACAATGGAGCCCAGACAAGGTGCGTTCCAATAAGTCGTCCTGCCAACAGGACCATGTTGCGAAAACAAGGTGAAACAACCTCTATTATATTGTTATTTGTCATTGTTAGTATTTTAGTGCTATTTGCAACGAAATGTCTTACGTTTCATAAGACATAATGATAGTTGTTTGCTATTTTTTGGTTTACAAATATCAATAAATATACAATATTTCAAGTATATATTGTTATTATTTTTAAACTGTCTGCAGCACAATATTACACAGTCTACGAGATCAAATGCAATTATTAAATTAATTCTTATAAGAGTAGGGTTTCGAGACTACCAGTAAATCATTGTAATGAGATGTATTCACCCTATTTCGTGTAAGGTGATGAGGACTGGTTGTCGAATTTTCCCACAATGGTATGAGTTGAGCTGACCTTTCCATTCTACTACCAGTCCTTCATCACCTTACACGAAATAGGGTGAATACATCTCATTAAAATAAATTGATTTATCCTTTTCCTATTTAAGGCTTCATTTAACTTATGCTAGGAGGCTTGGTAAATAATCTCATCAACAATATGTGAATGCAAGTGTCACTTGAGGTTAGCGACCACAGTGGTGATAGCATAATGATTCGAGCAGCTTAAAAAGGTCAATATTTTGTTGAGACTATCTTCATAGTTTGATCTGATTTCGGCCATTTTTCAAAAAAGACGAGTAAATCGTCCTCAATGAAAGTCGAGGTATTTTTAAAAAAAGCATCTTTATCTATAATTCGATTTAGGTCAAATTTATCTACAGCAAATTGGAAAAATAAGGGAAAGTAAATTTTGGAGAGCAAGGATATGTGAAAGTGAATGGGAACGTCAGCTCTACTCATAAATGTCGGAAAATTCTGCTACCAGTCCTTTATCACCTAAAACAAAATAAGGTTATTGCATCTCATATAACTGATTTACTGGTAATATCAAATCTCTTATTACATACCAAAAATAAATTATTTACGTCTCCGACATTTACTGGTCGTGATATAATACTAAGTGGCAAATTATAGTTGAATTATCATTCCTCATCGAAGCTATAATATTACTTATATAAAAAATATGTTTAATTGCATTAATTATGGAGAGATTCAAAATTTATTTGTAATTTATTTTCAATCTATAAATCAGTATTATATATCCATAAATGTTCTATATAATAGACTCTTATACATTTAGAATTGCGCATATCATCATCCTACTTTGTATGCACATCTCATTACACTAAATTAATTCTGTAATTAAATTATTATTATCATTAACAAAATCGAATGTAGTGTATGGCAAATTGTTATTATTTTACTTTTGTCAGTACTCTACGAGACGGGATTTTATTCGAGAGTTCTTCCTTTTCGCACTGGAATCACAACCATTTGCCACACGGCACACGCATTTGTCAATTCAGTACACATTTCTGAGGCAGATGCTGGAGACATTTTTGGTGTATGCAAACATGCAAGGCTGTTGTGTATGTGGATCAACTCAAACCGATCCGATCGTCGGCGTTGCTAGCCAAGTGTGCATCTGGAAGTTGTGATGGGTTGTGAAGTTGAGAAACGCCGACCGATCGGGAGCACAAGTGGGATCAAAGTGGAATCAAAGCGGGATCAAAGTGAGTCTGTTCCAAATCGAGCTGAGAGGAGAGAGCAATTGCACTGCGCCAAAGGACGACGTGCGTCAGCAACAAATGGACGCCTTTTGAGGCCAATTCTTCCGCATCGGATTGAAAATAGTCCAATTTCTTCCTGAAACAGTACTTTATGCTGCATGCAGAAGGACGCGAAAGACAGTCTGACATGCAAAATAATCAAAAAAGGAATGATTTCGTTTAGTAAAAATGCATTTTGCTACATGGTTCTATTTCG